ACATTTGTTTGGCAACAAGTATATACAGATGACATTCTGTATTTCGTAACACGGCAAGTGAATGCAAGAGAAGTAATTTTGCGAGTAGAAGGGACTAAACCAAACAATACATGTATTTTTTAAAACGCCTCTATAAAATGTCTCTACACTATAAAACTCCTGATCTAAGAGGCAATTTGCAAAATGCCTCTACAAAAGTGTCTTTATATAAGGTTTTTGTTGTAGTGACAGGATAGGATCACACGTCCGCAATTCAAACCCAGAACAATACCATAATGTTCACACTGCTAGGACATCATAGTGTCAACGATTGATTGAGAACACGCTATCTTTTGTCATGAGGAACATATTCTCTATGCCTGCAATATATTCAATATAAAAATATACTGAACCACAACACATAAAGCATCAATATGTCCTCCAGAATCACACACCACAGGTGCACCACAAGCTAGCTTGTTTGGTCATATTCATAGCAGGTGATGTTACAATGGGAGAGGAATTGAGGAAGGTTACTTGGTTTGGTTTGCCTGGATAAGGGGAAAATGGGTCAGTCCTTATTTGCCAGTATATAGTAATAGTTATATATATGTATGTCATACCATTCCCGTATAACTATTTTCTCTATACAATAATACTATGTGTTTGCATCTAATATACTGAAGCATAACATGTAATTTGTGCAAAGATAAAAACATCAGCCACAAGCAAAATCTTTTAAAAAAAGAAGGGAAAATAGTTGCATAAAAGAGAAGCTTTGAGATCTGGATCAAGAAAGGACATTGGCCCATGAACTATTTCTCAAAAGGACAAATCCGCTTTCTTAAAAGTATTATTTCTTAAATTTCTCCACAAGTTCTTCAACAACAAAGACATTTCATGGGTCACGTATAGAAAATACATACCTAAAAACAAAGGATAGAGCCTCTTCTTTATAAGAGAGAAGAGGGGGAACTTTTTGGTGGATATTTTAGAACAATCGCTATGGTTCAAGGAAATAGCTAATCCTTAAGTGGGTAATGGACAATCAATTCTATGCTTGGATGATACATAAGCCAAAAAAATGAATTGGATTGCATATGTGCACAGTGGTAGCCATATATAGTATTATCAGGGCTCCTGGACCCACTAAATTGATACTTTGCTGAAAAAAGAGAACAAATCAATCCAAAAGTCAGCTCTAAACAAATGACATCGATCTGTTGATGTAGCATAAACAGTGCAATTAAAAGCCATGGAATATGAGTAAACAGATGGAGGGTTTCGTACAGAAAACCCCAATTTCTAATAGTCTAACGTTAACTAAATTCAGGGAATCTTATAAAGCTTTCTACAAAATGCAGGCTACACAGGAAATGCTATCTACTTATACATCAAAAGAAATTTAGCTTTGTTCTTCTGAAAACAGATTTGTAGGCAGTCCTAGCAGCCTATGTACTCCTATTTGTAAGTTAAATATTTATTAATTTACTGTTAAAAAAAAAACATGTTTAGCATCCTTGAGTCTAGTTTGCATATATCTATATCAACACTGGCTACTTCAATCCCATGTAAACATATGAATATGACAGGCAACAGGATAAAGTTTAAGAGAAAAATATATAGAGCAAAAGGTTTGTAGTTGCAGCCTCAATCCCATATAAATGTTTAAAAGCTTGACAGCCTGATGCAAGTTTTTTTTTCGTTTTCCACCGCTGGTTGTACGATTTTGGGTAGCAACCGATTGGCTGGGCTGGACAGCTGCAGCCAAAAACGCCACAACAATCAGAACAGATCAGCCTCAATATGCTGTGACTTGAGACGTTAATGCATTAAGAAAAATAAAGCAGCACTTAATCAGAAGTTATGTGCAATTAATCTGAAGATAGCATTATATAGTTTAGAAAGGATATGTCATCGAGGTGGGGAAAAAAAGCGTGAAAATCCCCAACGATAGAGCAGAACTGGACAGTGAAGCATGACCTGGTCATCGAACATCAGTTTCTTACGCCAGCAAGATCTCAACTAAATTGCAAGCTCAATAAACAAAAGAATCTCCTCTCTTGTTCTTTACACTATACAAAGACCATTTCATTTGATCTAACCCATCCATCCTGCCCAAGTTTTTTCAAGTCTAAGCCATTGGTTATGTATATGTATGTTTCTGGTGATAACCTAAATTAGTTACAGATTATACCTTCAGCCAACATTTAGCTTGTACAAGTCCAACTCAAGATCAACTTCTATATTGAAGCATAAATAAGGAACTCTCAATTTATTGAGGATGAATTATGAATACACTGAGAGGTCTTTCTTGAAAGGAAGATTACTATGATCTCATTAACAACAACATTAGTAGTGCAGCATACACATTTTTTCTCAAGTTTTTAGTTTGCATGAAATAAATATCAGTTATCAATGTTGATAATTCAAAACCACAAACAAAACTATATACTTATTATGCCGTAAGGCTGCCCTATCAGGTCACTTCTTGCTATTTTTTGGGTTTTAAAAAAATCATCAAACGCAGAAGTATTTAATACAATAATGACCTTTTCAATGTCAGAGCTTCGAGGCAACCTTCTGCCGCGGCGGGGTGATCGGCTGCTGCTTGGCGCGGGGTTGCGTTATAAGGGGCCAGCTCCCACGATCCGGCAGCAACTGCTGAGGTCGAGGAGGGAGGGGAGGCAGTGCGGGGTCACGTTGTCGGGGCTGGCTGCCGCGATTAATACAAAGATCCATGCTCACTTCAAATATGAATGAATAGAACTGCCAGTTTAGCATAACGATTCACAGAAAAGGGCATCCACCACAAGCTTTAATTTTGCATGTGGAGATATATATTCGAATGTGGCAACCCTATGGCCAGAGAATGCATAATATAAGCAGATCGGCACAAGTATTACCTTGTTGATGATAACCTCTGTTTAACTTTCCGACAATCAGATCACAATAAGGCAATATGAGGACACCACCTAAGATGTATCGGACATCAGAATGATGTTTTTTTTTTTTGTTGAGATGTACCCAAGCAGTCTAACCCCTGCAATAGATTGAAAAACATACAGAGTGAGATTGTTTCTTTGCAAGACACATTTTTACCATCATATATTTTAATTCCATGATATAGCATAAGGACAGAAATGATTAACAGTTGTCTGTAGCTAAACTCTGAAATGTCTTTCTTTTTGATCCCCAGTGAGCAGAAAAGAGCAAGCAAGTGTACGTCCAAAAAATACAAGTACATTTTAATGATAAAACTGTTCCCAAAAAACAAGGAAATAGGAACCAGGATGATGCAGAGAAGATACATTTTATTCAGTGCCCCTGATCAGCAAAGATTCACTGGCCAGGCCATAACCAATGTTGCACTTTCAACCGGGCTAATTTATTCAGGTGCAAACTACAAAGGTTTGATGTTTTGAAAGGAATTAGTAGCACTTGCTGACCGACAACATCCATGTGTGATACAGTTACATGAAAAGAACGGCAACGAGAGCCTGATAGATGCCATCCTGGAGGGCATCTATTGAAACTGAAAAACCAAAACCTTTTCAAGCTTCACCCTAAAAAAATCTTTAGTCTACATAAACAAAGTCAGATCGTGAACAAACCTTTTTAAGCTACATCCGCAATGGTGATCGTACATAATATAAGACATACATTTATAAAGGCAAAATTTGCTATGGGACATAAAAAAAACGTACAATTTTCCTTGAAAGCAGATTACATAAAGATAAGTTTACTCAGCAGCCCACCAACCATCACAATCAAGCTCCCCAATTTCTGCCTAGGTAGCATGATGCCGTCTAATCATGTTGATAGAAACTGGCATATATATAGTCCCACGGTGTTTACAGAAGGAGGCTATGAATATGGCAGGAAGCATCCAGCTCCTAGAGTGGTGGCTGGCAACAAAAGTGGCCAAAAGACGAAAAATTTGGAGAGCTAACATTATTTACTAACTACAGTATTGTGTTGAACAAACCACAGGAATAATAAATCTCAAGTAAATTTTAGATTTTGATGAATTCTGCCATATAAAATGATATTAAATCAATGTTCCAAACATACTAACAGATGTACTTGTTAGTTTTCTGATCGATAAGTAGGAAATTAAGCAAAGGAATTCATAGAATGGGTTGAATGACCTTAACGCAGGCGGCGGCAGACTCCAATGGCTGCACGGTGATGGGCAGGATGCCAGCGGCAGTGGCAGGTAAAGAGGCGAGGCACCGTGACGTCGACGGCAAGCTGATGGGGAAGAGGAGCGGCAGCGACGTCGACGACAGGCTGATGGGCAGGAGGAAGACGCGGCGGCGGTGACAATCTGGAGTGGCTGGCGCTGTCGACGACGACGCGGAGGCTGATGCAGAGGAGGGCAGCGCGAGGGAGTGGGCTGATGGGGAGTCCACGATGGCGTCTGGAGCGGCCGGCGACATCGACGACGGCGTGGAGGCTGATGGGGAGGAGGGCGGCGCGGGAGAGTGGGTTGATGGGAAGGAGTCGACGATGGCGCAAATAATGATGGGAGGAGGGCGGCGGCGGTGGCGGGTGGCCGGAGGAGTAGGCGTCGACGGCGGGGAGGAGTAAGAATCGGCGGCGGGTGGATCTGGAGCGGAGTCCACGGCACAAGGGGGGGTGCCGGTGGCGGTTACGGTGGGCGGCGGCGGCAGGGGCAAGTGGGCGGAGGAAGAGACGTCGCGGGGTCAGGTTGGCGGAAGAGGAGTCGACGGCGATGGCGAGTGGGGCGGAGAAACTGTCCGCGCGCGATGGCAGTCTACCGCGATGGCGATCTCTGTGCGCGATTGCCCGTTGGATATGACGATCGGATGGTTGATATTACGCGTGTCTGTTAGATGCGTCTGCTATGTCAGGAATCAAGAACACCACTACGGACTTTTTAAGCAGTAGAGATAATAGTAATTGACAAAGAAAAAAAAGAGAGGAAATCTTAGCGTCCAAAATCATTGTGCGCCGTCAAGCCGTCGAGGATCCGTAGTGTATATCCCGTCCCCTCTTCGTCAAAAAAATAAATTGAAAAAAAAAAGAAAAAACTCCCGTCTCGTCGTCTCCGCTCCTTGCGAGTTCGCCCACCGCCGCCGGCGCGCCGATTTCCATCTCCCGAGCAAAGCGGGGGGAGGGCCACCGCCGCCGTCGCTGTCGTCCTGCTGCTCCCGCCACATCCCGGTGAGCATCTGAATCTCTGTCTTTCTCGTTCATCTCTCTCCCACCCACTTTTGTCTCGAAATTTGCTCGCGTTAACCCTAGCTTCTCTTCTAGATCTGGGAGCAGCTTATTTTTCGCTTAATAATTTTCCTTAACCTAGTTAATACAAGTAATCTGTTTGATTCGGGGGCTCCCAAGTTGGATTCGCCCCTGTTTGGGTGCACGCGTTCTAGTAGTCAGTTGTTGATTCATCTAATATGTTCCGTATTCTGCCTTTTCCTAACTAGGCTCCCCTAGAGAGGGTATTTTTTTTTTTGGTGTGTTCGACTCATTTGATTTCATTCTTTGAGGTTATGTTTGCCCTCAGATCAGGTATGATGTTGCAGGGCTTTGGTCCAAAGCTGTAATGATGTGGTATATATATCATAGTCTTCTGTTATCTACAAAAACATGGCTTTAGTTTTATCTAGGCAACAGAGCTGTAAATATCATAGTCTCTGTTATCTAGAAAACAATGAGGGGGTGGAGTTCATAATAGTAACTGATTTTGCTCATGAGAATTCATTGGAATGTTCCATGATCTACACTTGAATTTCTTTGTTTAATGCTGCCATTTTAGCTATTTGACAGTTCTTGTGTAGCTGAATTGTGCTGTTAGAATTACTTGCTGGAATAATGTTTGTTCTTAGTTCTTACGGTCACTGTTTATTGACTTTTTACAGAGATGGAGTCAGTGCCACTAACTGCTGAAGCTATTGCTTTTACCGAGAAAAAGATGGACATGACTTTAGGTCTGCTATTTATCCATTGTTTGCTTAATGGTATCAGTTAAGATTTCAGAATATGAGCATAGCTCCTGGGATTTTAACTTTTTATGTGTACATGCAGATGATATTATTAAGATGTCAAAGAAAAAGAATCCTGGAGGCAAGAAACCTGCTAGACAACCTGTAAGCATTTTAATTATTGACTGTACTCCATGCCATCTTGTATGGAAGTCAGTGAATAATCTCATCTTCTATCACTGCAGATCAAGAAACGTCCATTCCAGAATGACAACACTAATCAAGGGAATGCAAAGGTTCAGCGATTTATGGAAACTAGATCGTCCTTAAGACAAGTATGCTGTTTTTTCTATATGAAGTAATTCCTTTTTGTACTTTGTATTAGGTTCCATCTTAATGTTGTTTTTCTGGATCTTTAGGGGGTTCTTGCACAAAGGAGGACAAATCTGGGTGGAAATCAGTTCGCAGCTACAAAGCAGGCTGCAAAGAAGGCTGCTACAATGCCAATACGTAGCAGGGGTGTCAGATGGAACAAGCCAAGGTATGAGCTAACTGCTGCACTGTTTCATTACTCTTATTCTCTGCAGAGTCTTTATGAATCTATCTTACAAGAAATTATGAACAGGTAAACGATGGTTCTTTTATTGCTTATGAGAAGGTTTACTGCATTCAAGAACTTGTTAAATATTTTTGACAAATGCACCTGTGGATACATGACCTGAGATTGATCAGTGCTGGTGTTTGCATGCAACTACTGTATTAGATTCACCACTATTGGTGTTCGGTTGGTATAAAGCACATGCAAGTTTAAAGTTCAACAGACACTCTTGGGGTATATGGCCTATTTTTTGGTTGAACTGATAGAAACATAATGGATATGAGTTGGAGTAAGCTGATCAGATCATACTGGGTTGAACTTGATTTGTATGCCAAAATGTCATCACTCATCACAAGCATTGAGCATTTTGCCTTTTTCTTTTCTGGCTGTGCTGGTCAAGTTTATGGAATTTGAAAGGACCTTGGCATACATCAGTTATTGCCTGGCAATCAATATGGCAAATTTTTGATGTATTTATGGCAGCTGGGTGACTGCTGCTTGGGGAGGTCAGCCAAAACTCTTTGTGAGGGTTCATTATTCTCACTTGTTTGGTGATCTCTAGCATCTCCCCATAGCTGTTCATCCCCGATACTGGTTATGGATTGATATGCTGAAGTTGAATGACTTTCAACTATGCGCTGCATGGTGTGGATCAATGGTTTTTATTTTGCTTTGACAACGGAAGTGTGAATCTAGCTTGTAGTGTTTTCAGCAAAGCTGTGATCATCTATGTTTTGGAGTAAATTCTGCTGCTGGTCTCACTCCTAGTTGGCCATATGAACCGGTGTACTGCTGTGCATTATTTTGAGTGTCCTCTTGTTGGATTTTGGACATCAGGTGCTATGTGCTTTCTATTTTATATGCCCCGATTAGTGGTTCCCAACAGTGATATTCCATTACTCATCTGAAGATCTTGGCATATCATGATTTTGCTTGTTAAGAGTGGGTGGATTCTCTAGCATTCTTGGTTGGTCCTGGAATGACGTTCCCAAGTGTTGACTGGTACCTCATTGGTTCAAGCAAGCAATAAATCACAACTATTGGGATTTGGGACATATTGAACTCAAATTTGGTATGAGGTAACAATTAGGATGTTGAGGGCCTTGTGAACCATGGTGCACCATGTATTTGCCCTCATTGATGTAATGGTCACATTTACTGTTTCTGCTTGGTATTGTTGTATGGTATGTACAACCTGACTTTAAAACTTAAGAGGGGTATGGTGAGTTGGTTTGACCACTTTATGTAGCATATAGGTTATGGAAACATACTGCTTTTGGTACTCTGTTGCATACAACAATATCTGCCTGAGCGAATTTTTGCCTTTGTGAGCTGCTAATGTTTTGTCCTGGATGCAGTGCCCCATCTAACTCAATACAGCGGAGGCCTGTAGGACAGGCTTTTCAGAATGGGAAGGTAAGAACGGAATCAGAGTTTAGATGAGTTTACTGCCAGCACTTATAATATTCAAGCATACTTTGTTAGTTTTTGTTACTAGGGTGTAAAACCTTGTTTGCACTACATCTGCTTTAGTTTTCTATATCGCATTGATACTATATTATTCTTGTGAAGTACGGGGTAGTACATTTAGTTTGTACTCCCTCCTTTACAAAATATAAGGATTTCTAGGTTGTTTAGCAGGGATTAAGGTTGAGAGGAAAAGACTATTGCCCATCAATATATTGATAAGGGATGAGTGGGGGGGTGGGAGGGTAAGTGGGGGTAAGATGGGAAGACTTTTGAATGGGAGATCATGGATAAATTTGGTGAAACCCAAAAAGGTAAAGGAAAAATAATGTGCATGAGTGGAGTCCACAAGAAATTGGCCAATTCTGGAGGCTTTAGTTGAATTCATACTTGAATGCTATCCTGATGTTTTATACCATTAATTTTGATTTAGCTTTGCCACAATTCTTAGTGATTGCTCATATTAGTGTTTGGTCGCTATCATCCACCAATTTTGTTGAGCATTAGTGCAATACCTTGTTATGACTTATGATGGCCAAATATAATTATATAGATAAACCAAATGAAAAGAAACTAACTACACAATTGATCTCACAGCCCACCATACTCCAAGGAGATTCCTCTTTCTGTTTCTTGGTTACACTTCTGTTATTCACCTCCCCACAGCAAACCTTAGACTGCTTGCAAGGAGATTGGATTTACTGATAGAGCAGAATGTGGGGGCTGGTTGTGGGTAAAGATTATGGGTGTGTTTCTGGAACACGCATGTGCCTGAGGGGTTGCCCTGGCATGTTAGTGAGACGTATGAAGGATCTGGTAGGAGTGGTTCAACAATGATATATGATGATACTAAGATAAATAAATTTATATACTCTTTTTTTTGTGTATTTGACTGTATTTCCTTGATAGTTTCATGCTTTTTATTTGGCATAACAATATTATACCAGTGAGAGTTACTGTTGTGAATAATTTTTTTTAATGAGTTGCAATAATATATAAAATATGAAACACGTTTGATTATTTCATGCTTATGTTGCATTATTTTTTATTTTAAGTTAGTTTTGTTGACACTATCGCTAAATCATAATGTGGCTTTTATCCATGTCTAGGGGAAGGAGGTGCAGAACAAGGCACCAAGGACAATGGATGCGCTCTTTGCACAAATGAAGCAGCAGAGGATGAGGACCATTCCACAGCAGCAGACGAATACTGCCCCTGGCCGGCAGATTGCCCAGCAGCGGCGTAATCAGCAACAGCGGCGAGGAAGAGGATATGGTGGCCGCAATGGTGGTAACCAATGAGTTCAACCACATCAAATGTCCTTCATGGGAGCATTTTCAGTTCACTGGTTTCTTGGGTGGGAGAAGAACCCCTGGAATGCTAACTTGGCTTCTTTGTTCCCTTGTATTGTTAGGAGAGTCGCGGACAGAATCTTACTGAAGTCTGTATGCAGTTTTTCTGGTTTCCTATTTCTGCTTCAGCTTGTATAATGTCCGATGGAGTGTATGAAAATTTGCCTTTTTGTGTTACTAGTTGCGATGTTATATTTGGCATGCTTGTAGATAGTTATAGGTTGATGTGTGCTATCGGATTTTACAGTGTCGGTTCAGTTTTTGAAAGTACAGGACCGACTTCTGTGTTAGTTTCAGTATTGGTGTTAGTTTCCGTTGGTGACACAATCATTTCTCTCAGTAGGGAAAAGAGGAAACATTGGGGCACTTCTCCGTCTAGTTTTTTGTGAATCATGGCCCAACTTGATATATTTGATAATATGTTTTGTCTTGCATTAATCCAAATCACTCTTAACTTTGACATTATCTGGTAGGGTGTCAAACCAACCAGACCAAAGTTCAGTTTGGATTAGAAATAGTTGGGTGGTAAAATAAATAAAACTAGGATAAATCGAATACTTTGTAAATTAATATTTGTTTTCATTAAATTCATTTCTTTGGGTGGAAAATGGCAAACATAAAAGTTATTCAACGCTCTTTTTGAAACAACGCTATCAGTGTTTGAACAGAAAAACTATTGTCTTGGGATAGAAATTAGGCATGTCTGGTAATAAATCCTTGAAAAATGTTTTACCTAGTTTTTGAATTCATTTTCATGCTCATATAGTCACATGGATCAGTATACCACTGTTGTACGAAAGATCAGGGAGGCAACTTGTCCTTAATCTTGCGTGGTGCTTGTTGCAGCATGGATTGAGAGATGGGAATACGATTCTCTTCCGGTGATTCGAATTTCATCTTTCTTTTTCTTTGTCAAATGTCAATTTCAGGGAATAAAGAAAAGGAAAAGGATGAGAATTATTCCAATTTGACTCTGTATTTTGGCCGAAGGTACAACTACCGATGAAGAGATTCTCATATGGCAAGAAGATTTATGCTTAGATTTTTGGCTTGTGGCCACGACTTTATAATGGATGGATCATTTTAATAGATCAATTTTGCAGCTGATTCCTTTTTCCACTATGGCACTCTAATTACCACACGTTGCGATGCGATTGGCATCTTTTGACATCTCTGGTACTTTGTCACAACCCTGAACATCTTTGGCAATGCAATTTCTCTTTTGAAAATTCATGCTCTCAGTGTCTTTCGGGACTGGGAAAATTTGTCGTGTTGAACACAAAATTTCACGGTTTTAGCCCCCTTACATGAAACGAAATTCCAAACATTCACATCCTTTAGAGAGGTTCATGCATAAGAAAGGCCATAAGGGTAACAGCATATACTGTTGTTATGACTTGTGTTCCTTGTCAGCGTCAATGTTATAGGGGTGTTTAGATGTAGGGGTGTAAAGTTTTGGCGTGTCACATTGGGTATTATATAGGATGTCGCATGGGGTGTTCGGGTATTAATACAAAAATTAATTATAGAATCTGTCAGTAAACCGCGAGACGAATCGTCATTAGCAAATATTTACTGTAGCACAACATTGTCAAATCATAAAACAATTAGGCTTAAAAGATTCGTCTTGCAAATTAGTTGCAATCTGTGCAATTATTTATTTATTAAGCCTATATTTAATACTTCATGCAAGTGTTCAAACATTCGATGTGACAGGGTGAAAAATTTTAGGGTGGGATCCAAACAGGGCCATAGTTCTTTTGAAAATACATAGGATGCAATACTATTGTCAAATCGACTCAAAATATTGTCAACACTTAAGTTTAAGTTTAGAGTAGTCAGCTTACATGGGCAGCCAATTTTTATCAGGATTAGCAATATATTTATGATGTCATCAGGGCTAGTGACTAACCTCTTCTTTTTCTTATCTTCTTTCAAAATTCTCCTAACATGTTTAGATAAGAAATATTTTGTTTTGAATGAAATATAAAAAAATGATTTGACTATTTTATCTTTTATAGAGAAAATTGATTGTGTGCAACTGACTTTGTCCCCGTTCTATAATATGACATTGAGTTTATCAAGATCTATAATATGCCATCGTATTTGGCTTAACTTCTATAATATACTATCCCTGTCTAGTTAGATCCCGTTAGCATTGTATAATTTTATCCTAATGACCAAAATAACCCTAAGATAAAAGTTTCGAAAATTTGGTCGACAAATCCGAAATATCATATTGTAGCAAAGAGAAGCTCGAATCTAGCGTCCCTGCTCTTCATCTGGTCGGCTCCTTCCTCCTTAAGTCCATGCAAGCCCAACACTTCTGACATCAACGACGACCATGACAACACTTTGCATGACGACAGAGAAGAAAAAAAGACATGTCAGTGATGACTAAAGGGTGTGATTGCATATACAAAGCGGAGAGGAGGAACGATAGTAGCTCATGAAGAAAGAGCAGTGGTGATGGTGCATGGAGCGACAGTAGTCAGTGGTTGCTGGTGGTCTAAGAAGTTTGCTGTTGACACAATCCCCAACTAAATTTGTTGTATTTTTTTCTCTGAGTCCTACTAATATGTGGGCCACTAGTCATCGTCATGAAGTAATCACTAGTAAGTTTTAAAGTAAAAGAAAATGAGATAAAGGTGAATTACTAGAGTATCTTCCCCTTCCTTCCCTTGGGCCTTGGCGTAAAAGAAAGAGAAATCTCCATTCTCGTCGTCTCCTCAGCTGCTTGCGCCAAGACGAGTCGCGGCTCAACAGGGGGAGGGGCGGCGATCTCCATCCATCCGGCGAGCAGAGCAGGGGAGGGGAGGGGATCCTGGTGAGCATCCATCCACATCCTGTTCTTTCTGATTCATCTCTCTCTCCCCCACCGGGACTACTTTTTGTCTGGAATTTGCTTGCGTTCGTTCGTTAACCCTAGCTTCTTTTCTAGATCTGGAAGAAGCTCTTTCTCTTAATTCCAGAGCCTTAACCTTAATACAAATAACAGTTTGTTGTTTGTTCCACCCAAAAGTTTGGGGGTTCAACTGAACCCCGGCCATGTCCCAAGTTGGATCCGCCCATGTGTCTTAAGTGGACTAGAGTAATGTAGGAAATATGCTAACTAGTATTTCTCTAATCGCAAAAACGCATATGATATGTTTCTGAGTGATTCGTCTGTCTGCAAATGATTATGACCCCTGACACACCTTATGATGCACCAGAGCATCCTGCTGTGAGTGGACAATTATCACAATTCACGATTTACATATGAAACTTTATGACATGCATGAATTAGTCCTGTGGATGTCTCTTGTTGATGCTTTGCCCTTGTTGGAAAACTTTACTTGATCTTGAATTAGTTTGCATGTGAAAATAGTGAATAATTACTTTAAGAGGCCACTAACAGATTATTGATATCTGTAACTTGGAACTTTCCGTAAGTAACTGAACTGATTTTGTGTCACACCCTGCCCATTTCATGTGTATGCTCCTGTAGAAAAAAAAAAGGTTTCTTTGGATAATTTGTTCTTCTTTCTCAGGAAAATGCTAAACCTTATTAAGATAAAGGGTCAAAAGAAGGAAGATGCAGCCAATGCAAATGGAAAGCCTCCTGCCAAAAAGCAAAGTCCAGGGGAGTTGCGTCTTCACAAAGGTTTGCCATTTCATAAATAATATAGTTCACTTGGGCTATCATTTGGTTTATGCAGTGTGATTATACTTATCAAGCATTTCCTTTCCTTTGTTTAGTTTGCATGAGTGTATCTCTGCATCTTACTACTCTCGTATCCAATTGGTGCAGTATGTGAATTTTTTATTGTCACTTCTACGTTAACTTTGTTTTTTCTTGCTTTCAGATATTGCTGAACTTAACCTTCCTAAGTCGACTAGAATTTCTTTTCCTAATGGCAAGGATGATTTGATGAACTTTGAAGTTACTATTCGACCTGATGAGGGATACTATGTGTAAGTTATTGCAGGTGTTACTTTTACATGTAATTTTCATTTGGTGGTTCTGTGAAATATGTTACCAATTTTTCTGAATTGGTGATTCTACATCTACAGCATCCATTGAAATGACATTTGAATTGTATGCAAAATAAAATATGCATTCTCCTCTTCCTGCATTAATAAGTGCATTCCATGATGTAATGATAGTTGTTAGAACAAGGAATAACAGGAGTCATGTGTGTATCATGAAGGGCTAAATAAGTTTTTCTATTTGATAGGTTTCGTATGATATTTTACATAGGAATGCATGCAGGGGCATTAGCAGCAAACTTAACTTTGCCTTTGTCTTCTCAACATATACCTGTTCTTGATTACGGTATTGCAGTAACTTGTAATTATTGCTTTTGTTTTTGTCCTTTTGGTTTCTTTATTCTGCATGGGGAGTATTTACCCTGTAGCTACTCAAATTTGAAGAAAGTGGCAGAAGTGGACCATGTTTTACCTTTCTCGTTTTCTATTTCAGATAATGGTGGAACACAGCCAAGTACTTATTATTTTAATTTCAAGTGTTGGTTCTAATATGGATTTTGTTATTCTTCAGAGGTGGTAAATTTATTTTTACTTTCCAAGTTCCTCCTGCCTATCCTCATGAACCACCCAAAGTCAAGTGCAAGACTAAGGTAGCGAGTCTCTTCCCATTGATATAGTGCTTTTTAGTTCTTCCCAATTAAATCTTCCAGCAAACCTGCTTTTTGGTTCTCATAATTGCAACTTGTTACTAGGTCTATCATCCCAATATTGACTTGGAGGGAAATGTCTGCCTTAACATTCTGCGTGAAGATTGGAAGCCTGTCCTGAATGTCAACACGATTGTATATGGCTTGAATCTTCTTTTCTCAGTAAGTACAGTGATTGCATGTGTGAATTAAAACCAAAAAAAAAAGAACTGTACATCTCTGTGGAAAAATGATTTGTATTTCGCTCTTTTGGAATATTTTTTCACGGTTGTATCTTCACTTCTCTGTACATCATTTACCCATGAAAAGTTATTTTGGTTTCGTGAAGCAGAAATTTCTTTAATAATTTCGTTTTGTTATTTATTACCTTGGTGTCTAATTTTCCATCATCATGTGCAGCAACCTAATGATGAGGACCCTCTAAATCATGAGGCGGCAGCAGTTCTTCGAGACAACCCAGAAAAGTTTGAGAGAAATGTCCAGAGGGCAATGGCTGGAGGCTATGTTGGTGAAACCCACTTCCCTAGATGTATGTAAGGCCTGAAGATGGTGATCGGTACCTGACTTATCTGCTGCTGCCATTTCTCCTACCAATGCACTATGGTAAAAGCAGTATATGTAACCAAGAAGGAACTTCTCTGTTATGTAACAACAGCAGTTGCTAGAAAGTAAGTTAGTGAGGCAATTGAACTCACGTTCATAACCCGCAATCCGAAGACTCTGGGTTAACCTGTTGTGGCAAATGTTCTCTTTTGGCCCTCGCGCGCATCTCAGTCATTCTGATTCATACCAGTTTCTGAGATGCTTTTGTATAATGCCAGCTAGAGAAAATGCTGAACAGTATGTGTGTGCTGCACTTACTGCCTGTTATGACTTATGGCTACCAGGAAGTAAGAACAAGTTCACTAACATTGCTTAATGTAACATGCTACCTTGGGTAGTTGTGTTGTTCTTTTTTCCAAGCTCTGTAACTGGAAAAGTCTTCTCCACCTAAATGTTCTGAAAGGCATTTCATGGCTATTTTAACTGCAAAGGGCCTGGAGCTGTTGCTTTCTGCAAATCTGTGGTCATACATCCAAAATCTATCAAAAAAGTAAACAAAGAAGATTCATCTGTAGTGGCTTTATAAATCTATTGAGCTAGAGCAGGTAGAAGGTAGATTTCGACAAGTGTTGAGCCGAAGAACAAATTGCGCTGTTACATTGATTGGTTTCAATTAAGAAGGAATAGTGTAGTAGTGCCATGAGAAGTAATCAATGACTAGTGGCACACGTACTAATGGATGATGCAGTGGAAAGGCATTGTAATGAGAGTTTAGAGCATATGCTTATTGCTCCTAGTTCTTTACCTGCCCTTTCTAATTTGCATGATCTTTGTATTACTCCATAGATAAGATTTGCAACATTATATCCCCCCAAAACAACTTTTACTTCGCTTTCAATCGTTTCAGAACTTCTGTTCTAGAAGTAGCTCATACTCCGTTTGCACAAAGAGGGACATTTTTATAATCTGTAGTTTTTTATATGACGTCTTCAATATGTAGTTTCGTGAAAAAAAAATGGTGCTAAAAATATAGTTTTGTGATACGCATCCTCAAATTTATAGTTTTGCGATAGTTTGGTCAATGTTTATGTGGTTTTGTGAAATTTACTTGAAAAATATATAAAGCTGAGTTTTTTTTTTATAGAATGAAAAGATGTTATTTCAGGGATGGATGGATTAGTATGTCTTGAATGGCTTACTGGCAAAATGATGCATCCGATGACCTCATTCTTTCCTCTCTTTTCTGATATTTGATTGAATAGATATTCTATAGCCGCAAAAATCTATTCGAACTTAGGAGAATGATGATCATGGACTGACGGGGATTACATTGATAAGCACTTCGCATAGTTTACCTTACTCTACATGCCTATAACAATCATTCATCATTGTTTGCGTTTATCCCTTCTAGTGGGTTCCTTCGTAGGCACATGATGTGTATTGGAGTGGATTTGGATTCTCTGATCCAGAAAACCAATATGAATAGTTTGCGAAATCATATGGACCATCCGGTCAAGATCTCCAGAGCACCACAAAGCAACAGTAAATTTACTACTCATCTTTACAAAAGAATTTAGGGAGTAGCCTTGGTCATGGTCAAGTTCAGAAACATCAACAGCAATCAGTCAGTCCAGTGTGTATCTGATACTTCAAAACAGCCTGAAATCTTCAGCACATCGATTCTCCGATGTAAAGGATCCATTTTACACCCTCCAATGTGGCCATCCTTGTCAAGGCAACAATTCAATATTTACACTCCTCTGCAAGACTGCAAGGGACCAAATGCCAGCAGCTGCCCCTATATAAGTCCATGTGAATGTCTCAGAAGAATGCACACACAGCAACACTTGCACTGCAACCAGAAGCCAGCCACTACTCAGTAGGAGATTGGAGCTGAGAGCAGCAGCAGCAGCAGCAGCTAGGAAGATGAAGAGCCTGCAAGGTGAGGTCCACCTGAACATCCCTGCATCCAAGGCATGGGAGATGTTCACCAACAATGAGACCCTGGGCAAGATCAGCCCCGAAATGCTGTCGGGCGCCGAGTACCTTGAAGGAGATGGCAGCCCTGGCAGCCTCAGGATCTTCAAGCTAGGACCTGGTAAAGAAACTATCTCAGATATGTTTTTGGTACAAAGTTTCCAATTGTTCACATGCAATGTCATAGTGTCATTTTCATACTGTAGCTGTCAAATAGTATTGTCAGCTGTTCTAATTGTTGTAAGCATGAACTGTGTCAACTGCAGCACTTCATCACTTTGTCAAGGAATCTGTTCAGAAGGTTGAGAAGGTCGAGACAGGCCGGTCCTTCGGCTATGAAGTGGTCAGCGGTGAGCTGAAGGAGGTCTATGATCCCTACCATGTCACCTTCTCCTTCGCCCCCGTCCCGGGGAAGGAAGGCGAGCAGTGCGTCGCTGGGTGGAAGGCTGAGTTTGAGCCCATCACCCCCACTTCCCCGCCACCAGAGAAGGCCAAGGATGCCGCCCTCGGGTTTCTTAAATTGTTTGAGACTTGCGAAGCCACTAACTAGTAAAATGACAAAAGCTGTTGTCATCTTAATGAAGATAAGTATGAAGAAACCTATGGGTAGGACAGCGTATAGAGTACTAGGCTTGACATGTGTAATACCTGCCTAGTACCTTTCTGGAAGTGTGCTATGCCAAGTGCTATGTAATGTAATAACCCTGTACTAATTACTCTAGACCCAAAAAGGAGTCCATATATGCTTCTTGTATATGTATGGCTGAAAATGAGATAATGTGTGTGAAGATTCTAGAAAAACAATCACAAATATCTTCATGGTATCAGAGCTTGGTCGCCAGCGACTGCGCCAAGGCTAAACCCTAGCTAGCGGTGGCTGTGGCTGGAGAAGCAGGGCGCACCGGCGGTGTATTGGCGTGTGGTGCTGGAGCTCCCGGCGAGGAAGCGAGCGTGTTGACGGTGGAGGTAGCGGTGGCTGCTGTGGTTGTGCTTGGAGGATTCCGACGTGGAGAGAAGAAGGTTTGGCTAGCAGGGAGCGCCAACGGAGACCGCGTGCACGGAGGGCAAGTTGGCGACGGCGTGTGGAGAGAAGAAGGTGCTGTTGCTTGCTGCCGTGTGAAGGTGCTGCTTGAGAAGGTGCAGCTGCTGCTTGCTGCTTGAGAAAGTGCTGCGGCTGCTGCTCGAGAAGGTGAGGATTTTCTGCTGCTGCTGCTGCTGAGAAGGTGAGGATTTGGTCAGATTGAGGTCTCACAGCAAGAAAAGAAGGGGAAGAGATTAACTTGTGGAGGCAAGAAGAAGGGATATAGCTGCTATTAACTTGCTGTAATAGGGAAAACCAAGGGATTGAATAGGTGATGGGTAAATTGGTAGATATGCTTGCTAAGAAATTTAGCGAGACATCTAATACCAGCCATGCGATTGTTTCTCATGTTGAATCAGTAAAACAATTGAGTTGATGCAAAATGATATTAAGTTGGAAGGTGTCAAAAATTGTTTGAGTTGGTTTATGAGAACATTGTTGATCTTGAAGACAAAGGGATTAGAAGGATATGTTACAGGGGAGATAAAAGTGTCTGAGAGCACATCAAGTGCTGAGTGGAAGACTTGGAGTGCTAGCAACTCTTTAGTAGTAGCGTGGTTGTTGACTTCATTTATCCCTGTTATTGCTACAACTGTTGAGACCATCTCTAGTGCAAGTGAGATGTGGAAAACTCTCACTAATCTTTACTTAGGAGAAGGAAATGTGATGCTAATGGTGGAGGCACAAGAGAAGATAAGTGCTTTGAAATAAGGGGAGCATTCTATTGTAGAATATGTTGCAAAACTGAAGCATTTGTAGTCTGATTTAGATCATTATGATCCTCTTGGATTAGAGCACCCTGATTGTATAGCGAAAATGAGAAAATGGATTGAGCGCACAAGGGTCATTGAGTTCTTGAAGAGCCTAAATTCGGAGTTTGAAGGGAGAAGAGATGCAATGTTTCATCAAACCACAATTCCTACCTTGGATGAGGCTATTGCAGCTATGAAACGGGAGGTGTTTAAGAAGAAAGTATTGCCTAGAGTCACACCATCTTCACCAAGTCCCACATATAACATACCAATAAAATATACTTTGAGAAATTCGTGAACAAAATATGTAAATGAGTAAAACCATCATTTGCTGTATGTGCATATATTATTTTCATTTGTTTTTGGCTCTTCAATGCATCTTCATTATAGGTTTCATATGCATTGTAAAGATAATTAAAATTCTAAACAATTATGGTGCAATATAAAATAAAAAATTCCTAAATAATCTATACAACACATACAACTTACTAGAACTACTATTAGGAGCGTAGCATTTCAAGCACGAAACATGCATCATCCTAGGCCCCGTCATCCTATTCCTACCGTTGTTGGAGTAAACGATTTACTCCTATCGCGCGCCTCTACCACCCACCTTTATTCAAGTAAACGATTTACTTCGATAATAAAAACAACTCCCCTGCTTCCGATCCCACCCCAATGTCTCGCATCGTGCTCCCAACATTATCGGAGTAAATGTTTTACTTTGATAAATACAACTTCTCTGCTCCCGGTATATATTCTATTTTTCCCGTACCCAACCAACCACTCTCGCCCCCACTTCGTTTTTTTTCCTTTTTTTTCGGATCTGAATCGATCCACCATCCCAGCCCACAGATCGGTGACACACCATGGAGGAGGACGACGACACCGTGGCGGTTGATGGCGGTGGCCGGCGAGCGGTGGCCTGGCTGGCGGCGCTTGAGGCGAAGGCACTGCTTCAAGCTTCGCTGCCGGACGCTGGGCAGCACCTTAACCAGCAAGGAGGTGTTCACCTAGGCCAATAGAAGCAACCAGCGGCTGCTTCGCGTTGGCGACATTAATAGAACAAGCAAGTAAGGAAATGATACTCTGATTTGCATCTGCATACTCTCCTTCAACTTCACGCAAGAAGCCCCAATTATTTTGCATATCAAATTAATGTGCAATCTCCAATGTTACCTGATCTCAATTGATGGGCTGCACAAGTCCTACATTTGCACATCGTGTTCCATGTGGCTGGCCGCAGAGGATAGGGTGGAGTCCACCGGTGATGGAGGTTGTTTGCTATTTTTCTTTTGCTCGTCATCTCTATTGACATGAACGAGAATGTTTTTGCATTTTTTTTGTGCTTGCTAGATGATGGATGGCTGCTACTATGCAACATCGAGCTCATCTCTATATCACACTGCTACATCCTTCCATGATTCCATCGTCGATTACTGCTCGCCACCCAGTTGCCCTCTCCACTACCAGTCACAAGACACAGACCATCCTCTTTGTCCTTATAGCAAGATCCAGCAAAGCCACCAGATGGATTTTTGGCTGAATCATTTTTTTATTTTCTAGTTTGATCCACCTGTGAGTAATTTTATCGCTTGTGTGTGATTAAGCCTGTAATTTTTTCATTCATACGACTATTTTGTGATACAGATCAACAGTACTCTTAGTATCAGTTTTTACTCTTATACTGTATATTGAAAACATCAGTAAACATATTACTACACAGTGGCTATGAGATCATGGTTATATTGAGAGGAAGGTGGTAATTGTTTTACTCGCAGACCACGAAATCTCAGTTTTTACTCTTATACTGTGTATTGAACACATCAGTAAACATATTACTACACGGTGGCTACGAGATCATGGGCTATATCGAGAGGAAGGTAGTAATTGTTTTACTCACAGACTATGAAATCTAAACAATATTTATAATATTGGTAAAAAAATTACTAGCGTTGTAAGCTGGTAGTAATTCTTTTACGACCATCTAGGTATGGCGTTATACGATGTGGAGGCATTCATGCGAGTAAATTTGTTACTTTAGAATGAGCAGATGTGGGAGACTGGGAGTAAATGAAAAACTCCACAGAGTAAATTTGTTACTTTTGAATCGTGCGGAGATACTAGAAAAAGGGAAAACTCGGAAAGAAAAACTAGACGGTAAATGTTTTACTAAAACGCGAAAACAGAAAAACTATAGAGAAGGAATGAAAAACAGAAAAATTTGGATGGTTAATATTTTACCAGGCCCATTGATGAAGCACGAATGAGATGAAAAAGAGAAAAAAGAAACACGGAAGGTGGGGTGGTAAAAAATGAAAAAAAAACGAACCGAGAAAAGGTGGGATGCGGAGGAAATGTGGGGTGGTAAAAAAGCGAAAACCAGATGGAGAAGGCGTTGTGCGGTGCTTGAACTACTATTCTGCGATGTAGCGCGTGGATTTGCGCTACCGACAACTTACTGTAATTTTGACATCATTTTATCACTTGATTTGATACCTCAATAAATCATCCAAAACAGCAAAATCTGCAAAAAAAAAAAAAAAACGAAATAGCACATTGCCTAATTTACACCTTCACCGTAATTCAACCATAGCTCTCCTAGCAAAAACTTTTGATCAGCATGTTAAACATGGTATACTTAACTACCAGGAGTCTTGGATTAATTTAATTCGAAATCTAACCACTTTAAATAAGAGCCACAAGTTCTTTAAACAATATTTGACTGCAGTCAACATAGTAAATTGGCCTTCTTTACAAATTTACCATGGTAATTCTAAAAGATGTTTAGCCTTGGGACTTGGCTCATATATAAGACCACATCCTTGTCTACCTAGTGCTGGCTTGTCTCCCCCTAAGTCCCAATATAAATAGAGAAACACAAGAGTGCAAAATCAAACCTTGAAATAGTCTACATACTTGCTTCTAGAGTGTTTCATTCTCTCTATCACTGCCAGAGGGGCCCAGGGTCCATGGGAACTACTCGTCATCCTCAATAACACACCCCTAGCTCACCCCCACAGCCTGGAACACAGCCAAGTGCCATAGAACGTGTCATGGCCACCGGTTGACACCTAGCTCGAACTTGACACCTAAAACTCTACCATTTGACGATCCACCTCGCCAGCATACTCCATTTCTCTCCCTTATTACGTTCCACGAAGAAACAAAACGCGTCCACCTCGGAATCGCCGGGAACGGCCTTGTCTTTCTTGTCAGTCGGAAGTGTTTGATCGTCTTCATCCACTCTCTGGTGAGCTTTGCTGCAAACCATCATCGAAAACGTATTACTATTTCCATGCTTAATCTATCCATACCTTTTGTTTTCGAGATCGAGCCGTTCAAGAACGTCGGAGCGTGGCCACGGCTGTCTCCGGTGTCCAAAGCGCCGCCATTCGTCGCTTCGCCGTTTCCGTTGACCGGGTGCATTTCCGGCTGAGCTCTCACACCCCCGATGTCCACAAGATTCCACGAGAACGATGGCCGAAGGAATCGAACTGGAAGCGCGTGGATAGGGAGATCCCCTCCTTCTTCCTCAAGTCCGGCCGCCGCCTCCATCCTTGATTTCGTCCTCTCCGGTGAGTTGCAGCACGATTCGTCGCATCCGTAGTTTCCCTAGGACAACACTGACACACTGGACATGTTGTTTTTCCAGCTCGTTGACCGTAGCACACCGTCGACATCCACCCGGAGTTCTTCCTCACCGCCGAGCCGTTCCAACCGAAGCCGCTGCTATCAAAGCCTCGCAGATCCCTTCTTACATCCTAGTGAGTATAGATGGCCAAACGGGCGGCACGGCCCGGCACGGCCCAGGCCTGGCCATGCCTGTGCCGAAGTTAGTCTGGCCGGCACGGCCCGATCTACACTCTGGGCCGTGTTGTGCCAGCCCACGGGCCGCACACATGGCCCAGGCACGGCCCAACATGACTCGGGCTATGCTGGGCCGGCCCGAAGGCACAACGGTCCATTGCGCTTTTTCACAGAATAAGTCTATTTTTGGTTCCTCAACTCTGTGGTCTGGATAGAAAATAAGTCTATTTTGTATTCCTCTTCTCTTTTGGGCCCTGTATGACATGGTTCATTAAGTCTATTTTGCGTTCCTCAACTTTTTAATTCGGTCGTTCCGTACCGAGCCGGCCCACCGTGCCGAGGGTGCAGCCCAGGCACGGCCCGGCTGTCGGGCCGAGCCGGCACGGGCACGACCCCAAGTCGGGCCGTGCCGTGCTTGGGCCGGGCCAAAATGGCGTGCCTTGGGCAGGCCATATGGCCATCTATACCAGTGAGCATCCTGGACGCCCAAGAAGTAGCATGCATGCATTCCCTTCCCATGAACAAGGCTATGGACTCACCTGCATGCATAGCCCCTGCACAGCCGCCGCTCGGACTCGCCTCTGGCGATGATCCGGTCATCATTCTCATTAAGACCACCACCTCTAGGTTTGCAAAAGTGTTCTCTACAGTTCCTATTTTAGCCGCCTCACGAGATTTCCCACCGTTTGCCGCCGGCAAGGTTAATTATGGCAAATCACAGGGACCTAGTTTGTAAATTAGAATAAGTCTAAGGATCTACCTGAAAGAATTTCCACTCACATAGGGCAGAAATAGGATAGCGGGTTGATTCCTTGGAACCTAAGGGGTCTCTTTGCATATCGACCAGACACTGCCAGTGGACCCCCTATTTCAAATCTGGAAAAATATAAGAGAAATAGTTAAGGCATTACTTGTTCAACTGAAAATAGATAAACTTGTAAATTTTGTGGAAAAACTCATATTAGCTCAGTTTGAGTTGGACAAAGTTCCAGTAGACACAAAAAGTTGTGCTCATGAAGTTTGTAAACAAAAACATGGAACAAACAAAATGAGTTGAACTAAAATTTGTTAGAACCACAAAATCGCACCCTTTATTTCTATGCACTAAAATATGGAACAAACAGTACAAGAAATCTCTCTAAAATTTTGTACAGCAAAATGTTAACATAATGTGCACCCTAGCTTGTAAAATGCATAAGAAATTCATAGAAGGTTCAAAAATTATGATACCAGTTAGATTGAGCTTAGAAAATTATGCTCTTTAACGCTTTGAAGTATATCTCGACACAACCACATAACAAAATTATTCCAAAGTTTAGCCTAAGGAACAAATGACATATTCAAGCCTATAACTTATAAAATTCATATGTCCTAAAATAAAAATGATAAAATATAAATTATTTTACCTAAACTCATCTTAGGTCAGAACCCAACTACTGTCAAGAAATCATGCGTTTTAGAGCATTTTGGCTTTTTCGCATATTTTGATATTTTTATGCGTACACATTATAAATTGTATAGGTAAGGAGTCCGTCAACGGAGAAGGAGTGATTTTAGTATATGATCAGATTGAATCTGAGAAAGGCAAGTGCTCCCCTCATCCTTTGAACATAATGAAGCCTATGCTTTGGGGAGTGAAATGTTTTCTTTACAAAATTGCACGCGTATTTGCTATACCGATACTTGAAATTTGGTAGATGGTAGCTATGACCTATTTGGTGCATATTCCACCTTGAAACTTGGTCTCCCTACTGTTTGTAAACTTAGAATGGTTTAGAGTACTTATCAAGTGCTCAAATGGATATATACATGCCTATATATTTGCCATATGCTTAGACATGCATAGAAACTATACCTCAAACATAATGGATCATTTATACTCAATATTTTGGAAATTTTGTAACTTCTGGACAGAGATGTATACTCTAGATAATTGTGAACTAAAATGATGAAAAACATGTTTTAAGACTTGGGAGTATATGGTGGTAGTTGCATACCGATAGGGGGAGTGTTCGCCTGAGTCGACTAAGGACTAAACTCTATGTCACCAACTATTATATACCGTGCAACCATATGTGCTAGTATGGATGGCCTAAGCTCATTAAGTTGTTTATTATCTATGCATGCAGTTGGGAGGCCATTGTAGTAGCGATAGTGCCTACGACTTGATGGTAGGGCTATTTGTGGGAGTTGCCCATGTTTATGTGAATTGCAAGGGAACGAGTGTATCGATTCGCCTTTTCTGTGTTTATTGTTTATGAGGGGACAACTGTAATGTTCCGCCTCACATTTATTTGTGATTTGGTAGGGGACAATTGTACTATTCCGCGTGAGGGGACGATTGTATTGTTCCGCCTCACGTTCAACGTTGAGTGCCACGTAGGAAATGACTGTACCGGTTTGCCTACGGCGTTACATTGGTAAAGACCCCCCTCCCCCAATCTAACGGCATTAAGATTGTAGACTTTATGTGGAACAACACTCATCGTGCTCATGCAAGGATTTGATAGTAAATAATGTAAAGGCTTCATTGTGACCTCTAGACCGTACTCAATGTGTAGAGTGTGGTGGTACCGATGGGTACTGGACAAACTTGAATGATTCACATCATGTGGGTAAAACTGTATAAACTTTGCAGAGTCTAATCGATTGGCCGTGCTCACGGTCATGAGCGACACAACGAGTGCCATGAGTATAGTTTTATGTTTTCTAAATGTGTTTGTGAACTTAGGATGTGAAAATGGTAGATTTATGGTAACTTTTTGGCTTAAGATGATGTAAAATATGACTTGTTGCCATGGAGGGCAGCAAGGGTATACTTATGTTATCTTGATGGTGAACAACATTATTTACTTGATATATATGTTTCAAATGTTTTATTAAATACTGTTGCAAAATGCTTGTGAAATAAAATTTACTTTATGCTGAAAATTAAAGACAACATATAGCCTTTCCTTCGATTTAGAGCTTGCATGCATTTAGGTTTGATTTAATTAATGTAATGAGTCTTGCTTGTTGTATATTTTGTTTTCCTTAGTCTTTGTTGCAGGTGATAAGGTTATTTTGGGTTGAATGTTGCGGGAACCGTTGCTCTTTTAGGATGGTTCTAACTAGGGGCTTACCTCTTGTCGGTTGCTTGTGGGATTCTTTTGGGTAGACATGCTTCCGCTGAACCGTATATTGTATGGCATGTCGGCCTATGTATATCTAAAGTTGTTGTAATATGAAATTTATTTGTCTTAGTTGTATTCGCCTATGTGTATCATTGTTGACGACTGTTAAGTACCAAATTAACGCCGTCAATACCAGCATAAGACTATAAATATAAAACATCCAACATAGTGGTAGGGTTTATTTCTAACAATTTCCACGAGTGTTGGTGTATATTTGTGTGCAGGTGACAAACTACCCAAGTTGAGAAGAAATATATATAAAGGAGGAGGAAAATCAAACTCATATCCAAACTTATGGAGTTTTGGACCTAAAAACCTAATTAAACACCTCCAAATGGCGCGAACATGCATACCAATAGATTGAGGGGCCCTAAATGAGTGTCCTGGCAAAAAACCGGAGCCAACGGAGTCATCTCGGGTTCGGCCGAACCCTTACGGAGGTGTTGATGTGAAAAACACGAGGCCTGGGAGATCTACTTAACTCCAGTGCAGGTCCAAAAAGCATGCCTTTAGGTTCGTGAGCGTGCCAGTTGATTTTATCCTGCAATCAACAAGAAACAAAGACAGGAAAATATCAGTTAAATCCATAAACGATAGCCGATCAGCCAGTCACCGATGACGTATCATTTATCTTTGAGCCGATGTCATCTTTGCATCGATCGACAGTCACAAGTAAACAAGAAAGAACTAAATCTATTCGATCGGCTGTAGATATTAATGGTATATAATCCTTATGTCGATGTATACTTAAATCAAGTGATTGGGATAGATCGGTCGCCATGCCGAGACAGTATAAATCACTTAGATCGAAATATATATTAACAAGAAGATTATAAGCATTCATAGCATAGCCGATCAGATATATCTAGCATGTATCGGCTAATACTCTAATACCACTCTATATTAAGATATTAAAGCAAACAAAATATATCAAACAGGAAGCTTAATATACCTAAAAGCAATAAGATCTCAACATAAAGGGCAGATCTAGTATATCAATTAAGCACATAAGATATAAGGCTAAATCAGGTAAGATCGGTTGAAACCCCGATACTACCCTAATTGGCAACCAAAGACAGGCTAGAGATTGAGATTCTAATCATGACTTATAAGGTCAAACTTAACTGATGCAGCTATAAGTATGAAAAGAAGAACAATATCTAGACAATGAAGCCGTTGGATGTTTCATAGGGTGGTGGATACCCTATATAATCTAAGTCAACGTTGGTATTTAACCTAATCGGCTGCCCTCTAGTGATAAATGTTAGCCGACTGGAGGTTAAATAACAATATTGCCGGAGATTATATAGAATATATGATAACTCGACAACTTACATAAACAAGATTAGAGTGTTATAAAGATGGAAGCACTAATCCCGAGAACGCAAGCCGCCATAACAAGTTTTACCTCTAGTTGAAGATCGAAACAGATGCAGCTCAACCCAAAAGCAAGAACTCGTCGAAAACAAAACGAAAGTAAAAGGGTGGCGATGCCCTGAGATTGTTATTGAACGTGTGTTATCTAATTACATGGGGTTCGGGGTCTATTTATACCCGAGATTACAAAATATGTCCATGTCGGAGACGACTCTTATCTCTAACAAACTCTAAGATACCATAAGTCTTTGCGGCAAACTTTTGCCCAAACTTATCTCTAAGGAAATTACATAAAATATCCTAATTAATAGATACAATTGCCTTTCCAGGACTCAACCCGTGCATGGCAATCCATGTGAAGCACTTCAACCCAACCCGACAACGTATACCGAGTCGTATTGTCGGAATCGGCTCAATCGGCTAACCTTGTCCGACTCGAACTCTGTCGATCTGGTTGCAGCCGATTCGGACTTCAGCCGATTCTTGCTCTGTTTCCGGAATGATTTCTATCTTGGATTCCACTTCGGTTTTATCTTCATCTCCGATACCTGAATTACCAAATTTGGTCGTTAACACATGCCCCCCAAGTCCGGAATATTTGGTAATGTTTCGGATTTGCCATATCTGCTCCTCCAAGAATATCGCTCATTGTTGTTTTTCCAACCGTTACCGCAGCGCTTTAAATACTAACCGTCACCCCCGAGAGATTTCACACCGTCACTTCTGTTTTCACCGCTTAAGCCAA